TCGCATTTGTATGTCTTTATCAGAAGATATGTGTTGCTTTTGTTGTGCTACTTTACTTCAGAGGTGATATTACCTTATTTCAGGGGGAAGTTTAGTTGACTTTATATTAAACTTTTGTTTTATTGTATCTATTTTCCATTTTAAAGAATTTGATATAAACTTTTTTATTGAAAATTTATTGATAATTTAAGTTTTACTTGCTTGGTTAGAAGTGATTTGAGGCCTGGATTAGATCTGCAAATTTTGAGAATGAAATTTTTATAAGAAGGGAATATTGTAATAATAACCAATTGAACACATTTAACTAAGTTATATAAAAATAAAAAAGTTATTACGACAGCTCGTTTCATAGACATCGTTCTAAATGGAAGCTACGCTTGAGATTGACTCAAATTGTGGTTTTTCCCTCATTTCCCCTCATCCATTCGAAATCAAGCGCTAGGCAGAGGGAGCGTGAGAGACTGAGAGAGTGAAGTAGAGGAAGAATCTGAAGAAGTAGAGGAAGAAGAGGAAGGAGGAAGAGATGTGTGGCTTACCTGCGATCAATTCTTTCCATTCTCTTAAGTGTAAGAGCTTGACAAGGACTTGAAAGGCTTTGTTAAGTGTCGTGAGCAGCAGGTGAAAAGAGGAAGAAGAAGAATAAGCTCAATTAGGTACTTAAAGTGCTCGAGTGATTCACCCAATCTTTTCCCTTGTGTCATCGACGATTCCTCAATCATATGAGCTTAGCAAGGAAGAGAGACAAAGCCGCGGGTTCACTCAAACGCGTCAGTCAAGGCTTTTGGTGCCCTAGCTCTTCGGCAAAGAGGAGAGGTGCCGCGATTTTTCTCTCGTGTAGCCTGTAAGATTGACTGAGAGCTTGGGGAGGAAGAAAAGCTCGCGGGGACCCTATCGTGCAAATCAGAAAGGAAGGAGGTGAGAGCCCTGTCGTGCGACTTGCAGAGGAGGGTTCTCTGTATCGTGCGGCTCGCAGAGGAAGGAGAAGGCTCAGTTTGTATCTTTGAGGGCAGGGTTCTCTGTATCGTGCGGCTCGCGGAGGAAGGAGAAGGCTCAGTTTGTATCTTTGAGGGCAAGGCAGAGTCACAAGGTATGATCAGTTATTAACTTTAATTGATTTAAAATTTTTATTCTGAAATTTCAATTATTTATTAATTATTAGGATTAAGAATGTATATCTTAATGAATTTAATTAATGTTCAGTAAAACCTAATGTTAATTCTTACAAATTTTAGGATTTTTGTTTAACAAAGAAGCTAAGGTAGAGGAAGCAGGAGTGGAACTTCAAGTACGAAAATTTATTTTAATTATTACATGTTATCGTTCTATTTTGGCAAACAAAATGATCTTATAAAGATATAGAAAGACTTGGGCTTAATGCATAAAAAATGATCTTAATTTATTAGAATTAAATGAAAATGTGGCATTCAATAGAACGCAATGAAGAAAAAGGATTCATGTTACCGACCCCACTTAGTGGAATAAAGCTTCTTATTGTTGTTGTATGTTATTGTCCTATTTAATTAATATTAAACGAAGTTTAAGAAAATTTTAAAAATGTTACCCATTTAAAAAATTGTAATGTTGTTTAATTTAATTATAATATATACTTGTAATTAGTAAAATAAATTAATAGAATAGTTAATATTTCAAAAGATGTATTAATTAAGTACTCTTATGAAATACCTGCTCACAATTCAATTAGATGAATTATATGCAAGGCTGTTTTAAGTTCTTATGTTAGAATTCATGTGAAAGAAAAATAAAATTAATAGAGGCTAATAAATGTTAACTTGTTATTATATGTGCATTTAAGGACAAGTTTCATCTGTGGCATGTGACAGTGAACTTCAGATTTTATTGTGGAGGGGGTAAATATGTTTTATTTTATAATAGTTCTGTTTATTTGTTATTTCTCCGCCTTCATATTAAATGCAAAAAGACATACTTTCTTTTAATTATAAATGCAAGAAAAATGAATAAATATAATAGTACATGAATATGAGTCACCTCTGGATTGTACTGGTAGGAGAATGCAATGTACCGGTGTATAAAATGAAAATAGAAATGTTCTCTCTTTATGGTGGGTTGAAAGAGGTTAAACATATATTTTTAAAAATGAATGTTTAGATTGTAACTCTCAATTATGAAAAATATAACATAAATAAATGAAAGAAAATAAAAATAGTTTTTTTACTACTCTTTTTCTACAGTCTTTTACTGTTACAAGACGTTTCCAAAATATTTTAAAATGAGAATTATTGTAATTTAGAAACATTTGTTCACTGAATAGTTTTAACTCAAACCTTAATTGCTAACATTTTATAGTAAAATTAACTATATACTAGCTGAACCCCAGGAATTACGTATACAGACTTTAAATGAATAAAATAGGATATATGCATGCCTATGAGAGTCACCTCTAGATGGTACTGGTAGGAGAATGCAATGTACGAGTGCATGAAAATATAAATGGAAAGGTTGCCTACCTTTATGATTTGTTGGAAAATGTTAAACGTATATTTGTTAAAAGTATATGTTTAGATGGTGACTCTCAATTATGAAAAATGTAACATAAATAAATGAAAGAAAATGAAATCAGTTTTCTTACTACTCTTTTACTGCACAGTCTTTTATTGTTGCAGCGCGTTTACAAAAATATTTTAAAATGAGAGTTATTGTAATTTGGAAACATTTGTCCACTGAGTAGTTTTAACTCAAATCTTACTTGCTAACATTTTACAAGAAAACTAACTGTAGATTAGAAGAACCCCAGAGAGTACGTATACAGGCATCGTGGAGCATAATCTGATAGTTATTTTAGTTCAATTTTTATTTTAATTAGATGTAAATGTTTAAATAAGAACAATATGTTGTAAATATAAGTTTATGAAATAGAATGACTCTTTGGTGTTTTGGATTTTATATTTATTATGAAATAAAATTGTTAGGTTTTCTCCGTTTAACCGATAGTTCCCGCCTTGGTAATTTCAAACTCTCGGGCCGGATCGTAACAAATCTAGTGTTGTGGTTTAAGTGGAGAAAAATAGAACTTATCTGAAGTTAAATTAAATTATTAATTTGAGATAGTTAAGAAAATTTTATCTATTTGAAAATAAATCCGGAATTCTATATTAAGATAGTTTGTGAAATAATTTTTTTTAGTTTTATGATTAGTTAAACATTTAAAATAATATAAATTATAAGTTATTTTAGTTTTCTTAGAACTTCTAAAATAAATTAATTATAGAAAATTAAAAGTTATGTAATTAGTAGATGCAATAGTATATTAACATAAATGTGAATGTTAGAGTTTTTATATAGTATATTAAATTTAAAATATTAGTGAATTCATAAAGAGAAAGTTAATAATATCAAAATGTCTATCGTAGCTGTGTTTTGTTTATCGGAATTATTACAGGAGTCTAAGATCGATGCTATTGGTGAAATTGACGAATAACAACTAAAAAGCTATTAAGTGAGTACTCTTATTTTTTGATATGTAGTAGCTTTTTTATTTCTTCTTAATCAGTGTCCATGATAATCACTGTTACCTATAAATTCAATTGTTATGTTTTGTTCTAATTGACATATTCTTCGCTTTTTTTTTTATAATATTTTTGTGATGATTTTACATTTTAACGATAACTATTATTATGCAATATTTATACATAATTTGTTGAATTGAATGAAGTACACGTGCAAATGATATGAGTTGCATAGAGTAAATGTATGAGCATGTTTAGTTATGATGGAGTTCACCCATTTATGATATTAGTTGGGGAACACTAAGTTACGCATGCATGTAAATGAAAAAGGATATTGATATTGATGTGTTTTAATTAATATAGTTTTAGATGGTGTTCTGGCGACAATTGTATACAGGTTAAAAAAATATTGATATGTAAACGATATAATAAGACATAACAAATGTTTAATATTATCTTGAATATCATATTAAATTGTAGAAACCTTCAAATGCACTTAGATTGATTTTATATAATGTTTAACATGCATATTATTTTATATTCATTGTGTTAATATAATTTATGAGTATAAATATTCACAAGCTTTTCAGCTCATTGTTATTTAAAATTCATATTACAGGTTTAATTATTTGATAAAAAACGATCAATAGTAGAGAAAATATTTATATAAGATGTGGACACATATTAAATGTTTAATATTATCTTGAATATCATATTAAATAGTAGAAACCTTCAAATGCACTTTGATTGATTTTATATAATGTTTAACATGCATTTTATTTTATATTCATTGTCTTAATATAGTTTATGAGTATAAATATTCACCAGCTTTTTAGCTCATTGTTATTTTAAATTCACATTACAGGTTTAATTATTTGATAAAAAATGAGCAATAGTAGAGAAAATATTTATATAAGATGTGGACAATCATAAATAAGATAAATTTACTTGTGGTATATTAATTTATTTTTTTATGGCTCTTTCGTTTGCTAAATTTTAGTTATAAAAAATGAATATAGAAAAAAAAATTATTTTCCACCATCCAATCGTCTTTAGGTGCCTTTGTAATTCAAATCTCAGGCCGGGTCGTGACAGAACTATTTGATGTTGTGGGGATTCGTTGCAAGTCGAGTGATAAGAGAAGATTTAGAATATGAAGTATGTATATGGCTTGATGAAGAATTTGATCTTCATTAGACAGTTGTGACAAGAAAGTTATGTCTCGAGTCCTGCAATAATTCATAGAAAGTGACCAAGGGCAAGGATGACAATTTTACAAGATAAGAAACAAATTAGGTGATGGAAAATTTAACACAAGACAATTTTTTGGCATTGTAAAACATTTTTCTCTGGAGACAGTCATGAATATAAGAAGATCTCACTAAACCACATAACTATTGTTTTCTTTTGTTATTATTATTATCTTCTTCAACACATGAATTATTCCTTGGTCCATTGAAACTATCATATGCTACTCTTATATTCTCTCTTACTCTAATGCATTTTCCTCTTCAGTTCTACAGCCGGACTTCAGGCCACCACTTGTATACATCAGAACGACAACTGGAGGATCTCTGCAAAGCATGTGGTCTGGTTGGCTTTAAATGTGTGAGGAATGGATTTTTTGTGATGATATCTGCAACCAAACCTGATTACTGAACTTCTGAATCTCAAACTACTTCCAGGTTAGTTATCAGCTCTTATTTAGTGAATTCGTGTTTTGAACAGGTTTGACCATTTAGTATGGATGTGTTGACCAGATGATTTTTTTTTTAATTTTGATTTTAGTAGCTTGTCAAATAATTATAATGTTCGCGACCATGGATTAAGTATTGGCAGTGCAGCCCACACATTAATCTATCATAATTATGTTATTTTTGTTCTCAGTTTTTCGAGAAAATATTACATCAGGACTCTTAACGCAATTTGCGTTCGGAGTCCTATAGTGGGGTTTCATGTATTAAGTGTGTCCCACCGTAATGCACTGGGTTAAAAACGGTAGAGCCCACTTGACACGTGACACCCCAACATTGGACTCTGAATGCATTCAGATTCCAGTTTTTGAAATTAATAATTTCATAAATGCAAAGGTTTTTAAATTTTTTTTTTATGTTTAGTTGGATGAATGTGGAATGCATTATAAAATTTTGTTGAATTTACAATTCTTCCTACAGTTCAAACATGGTATAGTCTGAATTCATTATATGTGGGCGAGATATGTGAATCATATAATTTTGACTGATGTATATATATATAGCATAGATAGTCTAGACATATTAATCAAAATCATGTATGGAGCAGGAATCTTCATTGCTAGATTGATATACCCAAGCAAATTTATAGTTTTAATTAATATAATAAATTTAAATAGCTTTTTAAAACCGGTAGAATGGAACGTTTCAACTATAGATGCATGGACTGTGTTGATTTTCCTTTTATTGAAAGGGGCATTTACATGCATACCACCCAATTCTTAAGTATTTACATATTGAACAGCTACTTTATTTCTTAAATGTATACCACTCATGTTTTTTATATCATAAAAATATTATTATTTTAACTTTTAAAAAATGAAATGTACCTTTTCATGCACGGGCATGTAAAATTTGAATTCTAGGTGTTCTATATGTAAATACAATTGAGTGGTATGAATGTAAATCTTACTTATTAAAAAAATTTTAATTATAATTGTAGAATGTTTCACATATGCACATTTCAGCTGATGTTTTAAAAAATAAATATTAAACTTCTTTTTTAAAATATATTACTTTGTTGAATCCAAATTTGTCTAGTGAGACATGACCAAGGATTGGAGTGGTAGGAATCTTAAAGGTGAAGTAGAGGGAGGCAGAGAATAAAAGAGAAATAAAGAGCAAAAATAGACTTGTCCCGTAGGGTCGAATTGGGGGTATTCTTGGTCTTTGTGATCAATTTTATATATTGTAATTGGGGAGCTACAAGAGAGAGAAGAGGAGAGAGATCTCCCAACAAGTGTGGGTCTAGAGAGAAGAACCTGAGAAGGCCAAGATTAGAGAGGCTAAAAGCCCCAAATATATGATATAGACTTCTTATTTATAGAAAATAGATGGCCAAAATGTTAAAAATTACATGTTTGCCTCTACTTTATTAGGGGCGTTACAGGGTATTATTGTCTTTTGTTGTGACTTTTCATATTTCTAACTCATTTTGACACCTTTTGTGTGGCCTCGACCTTTTGGTTGGTGGGTCCTCAGGTCAGTCGATCAAAGATTTTGCCTGGGTGTAAATTGGCCTTCGCTCTGGTTGGGGGTTTTATTAGCTTTAGAGCACTGGCTCACTATGAAATCGAGCACTGGCTCTGAAGATTTTTTGAGTTGTTGAGAGAGTTTTATGTTGATACTTTGAGATTGTTGGAGGTTTTAGACCTTGGATCGGTCGTTAGTACGGACTTGTGCAATAATCACCCCATATTAGTTGAAGATTGCCCTGAGTTCTTGGCAGAGTGGTAGCCACAAGCTATATTTGAATTGGTCTCACTAGAACATAAGGTCCTCCCTGAACTACTTTTTAGCTCGATTATAGCTTTCTTCCACTCAAAGCCAGATGACCAGATCGTAAATGCGGGTTTCTTGAAGGAGCTCCACATGGTCCAAAGTTATTGTTGACTTCTTGCTCAACGGAATCGAGCCAAAGAGCTCTGAAGAGAACTTGAGAGTCATTCGAAAGAAACAGAGAGGTAGCGCTTAGAAGGAGAAAGGAAAACCAAATAGAAGAAATGGAAGAAATGGAACAACCATGTGAGGAAATTAAACCCTTACCCTTATTTATAGGGTAAGATGGGAAGATAAATTGTCGTAGGGGCATGAGCGTCATTTGTCGTTCTCAAAACAACACTGACAAAAAGGTTACATGGCACATGACTCAAGATAATTAAATTTTATTTCATAAAATAAAAATTACAAGTTTCGCTCGGAAGCTACTTCAAAGTGAAATATTTTACAAGGATATTACTTTTCGCTTCAGTAGACATAAACTTGTTGAAGCAGACGTTTTTTTAAAACCTCACCCCCTAACTTAAAATTGTTTACTCTACCTTTCTCTGGTTGGACCCAAGATACGAAAGTTGTCTCCTGAATAGTTAGCAGTTCCGCGCGACATGCAGTTGATTTCCTCGCAAAGGGTGGTTGTTTCTTCATAGAGGGCATCAATCTCTCCCTCCATCAGATCCACTCTCTCAACATAGGTCGAAAGCCAGTGCATCTCCTTGACTTGAGGAAGCCCAGCCACCTGGGCGAATGAGTCATCCAGCTCACGCAGACGATATGCCAAAAACCTAGAGGATATCTAACGAGCCTTAGTTGCCTCCCTCTGAGCCTCGCTAGGACCACAAACAGTTAGTCCTTTCATTCTCTCCTGGGAACCAGTCACCTCTACCTGATTCTTGATCCATAGTTGTCGGTGCCACTATTAGATTTGCACTAATGTTCGCCAAAAGAGAGTCGATGACCATAATCTATGTAATTGGGTGGGTTGTACCAAAGGACAATATGAAGAAACAATAATTTCTGAAAAGATTGAAAACCAAATAAGCAAGGACATAACTCTTCATACCAAGGATTTGATCCTACTTAGACATTGTAAATGACACCTTGACCTTACCAAGTTTCTCTTGTGTCCCGACCCACAACGTACCTTGAACTTACCAAGTTTCTCTTGTGTCCCGACCCACAACGTTGCATCAGCAGTTCCCTACGCGTTGAGCGGCACTGCAATACCAGTAGTTCCCTTAGCGACTCGGTTGCCAAACCAAGTTTGATTCTTGGTGGAAGGCAGAACCGACAATTTGGCTGGAGGATTGCCCGATCAGCCCTCCAGCATCCCCTCGACCAACCTCCCCGTTGACAATCGTGGAGCGAGTTAGATGACCCTACCTGGTTCTCAACATCAATCTTTCCTCTTATTCTTGACAACCTTCTTCTTCCTCTTCTCTTCCTGCAACTCTCTAAAAGCTTTAAGGCACGTTGCCCTACCATAGGGCACAGATCCGAACCAAATTTATCCATCATGGTGTATCTTGGAATTCCGTCAACCCAAGCAAGGAGGAGAGGGGAAGGAGATGAAGGAGATTAATCTCTCACGCCCTATTTATAGAAACACAATGCATAGAAATCTGGGGAGTTCAATTATTGAATCATTTATTTGTCATAAATGAAATTTACTTTTTTCACTAAATTCTCTTGTTCTTATCATAACATGAATTCCAAGAAGTAAAAGAATCAGAGAACTAAATATGTATACAGAAAAAATGTTAGCACAAATCTCAAGGTGATTAAATGGTCCAAATTGGAAAAATACATATCAAATGAGGGCCCACCAGAAGAAGACCTGGAGGTCCAATTGTCTGATCAGACATATCAAGACCAAGACCAACCAAGGTGACTGAATATATTGAACCTGAGCCATTTGATAGGAAGCAAAACACAAGGGAATTCAATCATTCCTCATGATGAAACCGACCCAAGGGAGAAGTTAGGGTCTTGCAATTCTTGTCAGACATTTAACAACTTCCTTGAACATCATCAAGAATCAATAAAATAACAAGTCTTAGCTGTCCCTCATAATCTCTTCGTCTAAGTGCAACTACATGTAAAATTATTCAAGTTCCACTTTGCTGAGAGCAGCTCCTCATTAAGGATCAAGGGTTGACGACCAGACTTGACAAATCGGTTGACAAGATTTTTCTGATCAAACAAATCTTGCCTACTCTTGCAGTAAAAGATCAGTCAATCGACAACATCAAGCATAATCGGCTGGTAGCTTCTACCAAACTTGACCAATCGGCAGGCCTCACTAGCTAGCCTATCGATAATTTTTTTACCAATCTTAGCAGACCTACAACACCTAACAAAGGCTCGCTAGTTCAGCCAGCAAAGCCCTAGACAGTTAAGTTCTGTATCCGCAATATAAAATTTTCATATATAAAATACTATTAATAACATGTACACCCCCCTCACTAAAATAGGGGCATAAATGTAACCTCACACATTGCACCCTTTTCTCTATAATTAGGGGATCATTTTATTTATAAAGGGTGACACTTGTTCTAAATTATTGATCATTTAGTGTGCACATTTCTCTCTGTCTCTATTTCTCTCTCCTTCTCCTATCTTACATTTTTTTTCCTCAGGTGTGATCTACAAATGGATTCAGATTCAACACATTGTGTGTGTGTGTGTGTGTGTGTGTGTGTGTGTGTGTGTGTGTGTGTGTGTGTGTGTGTGTATAATATGCATGAAAATATGTATTTTACATTTCAAAAGTTAAAATGATAATATTTTTGAAGTCTTATAAAAAAATTGGGAAATATAAATGGAAAAAAAAAAAGGTTAAAGCGTTAGATATGTAAATACATAGGAGCTTAGTGATATGAATGTAAATGCCCCTTTAATATTTTACATAAAATGTCTTTATTAATTTATATTTTATTTATCAATTTATTTCATGCATTGAAAAAAAATTTTAGTCTGTATACTACGACAATTGCTTTATCGATTACATATGCCTTAATATTTTGTTATTTTATCATAAATTTAGCAACAAGTTATATTATTCCACCAACCAATCATTTCATGTCACATAAAAATACAACTCCTATTAAAGGAAAATTTACATGTGGAATGTTCATAAAACTCTTAATATGTAAATACATAGGAATTGGATGGTGTTTGTATAAACAGCCCTTAATATATTTCTACATGATTAGGCTTAATCAAAAACATTAAACCAAAGCAGTCATAATCAAACCTTAACCCGCACAGCATGACCAACACTTGAATGGCGCCAACAAGACTCAAAATAGAATTTAATAATATTATTAAATATAAATATATATAAT